GTGGAGGCCGGCCTAGCTGCTGCCCTGACAGCCCCGGGCCCCTGCAGGAGCTCCCAGACCCCTGTCCCACGTGGAGGCTGGCCTAGCTGCTGCCCTGACAGCCCCAGACCCCTGCAGGAGCCCCTGGACACCTGTCCCCTGTGGAGGCCGGCCTAGCTGCTGCCCACAGAGCCCCGGGCCCCTGCAGGAGCTCTCGGGTATCTGTCCCCTGTGGAGGCCGGCCTAGCTGCTGCCCTGACAGCCCCAGACCCCTCACGCCAGGCAGTGCCAGCATGGCCCTCACTCCGAAAGTGGCACTGACCACATCCGAGCCGTTTCCTCGGTGCAGTGCAGTCCTGGGCACGGAACTTCCCTGGTGGAGACCCACCCTGTGAGGGCCTGGGGTGGGAGCAGCAGGGACTGCAGAGCCAAGAGGCTGCTCGGTTCCCACCCCCAGGGCCTGTGCCAGGCGTGGGGTGGCCGGGCAGGGTTCTGTGGCTGCTGCTGCTGGAATGGGAGCCGTTTGCTGCCCAGAGAGCTGGCGTGGTGCGCCTTCCAGCTGCCAACAATCTCAGCCGGCCACCACCACAGCTGGAAGGAGGCTGAGGCTGGTCCCCGTCCTGGGTCACACAGCCAACCTTTCTGGATGTCAGCACTGTCTGCCTGCGATGGCAAGCCTAGGACGAGCCAGCACAGCCGGAAGGAGGCTGAGGCTGGTCCCCGTCCTGGGTCACAGAGCCAGACTTTCTGGATGTGAGCACCGTCTGCCTGCGAAGGCAAGCCTAGGACAAGCCAGCACGGCCTGGGCAGCTCCTCCACGAGGCCCGGCACAGACACTGGGAGCTTCTCACTGCACACACAGAACAGAGAAAACCCAGGGAGCCCTGGGGCACTGGGCTGGATTTGGAGGAATTGGGGTGAACTCACAGATTTCAATAGAAAGAGACAAATATAGAAACAAAAATTATGCAAATGTGTGTGCACATATATGTGTTTATATGCACGGGCTGCACACACACACACACACACACACACACGCAGTCTAATTCTGCCTAGGAGCCTTGATGCCCCATGAGTAACAAATGCCCCCTCACACTTGGATCCTGGCTCCTGAAGTCCTCCCCCTCCACCACGAGGAACCAGGGCTCCTTGGAGAGGTGGCCGAGTCCAAGACTGGGGCAGGGCACATCCAAGATGAGCACGGCCAGCACTCTGAGCCAGAGTGACGGGGTGCTGAGAGATGGGGACGTGCTGTGAGGGTACAGGGCCAGTGTGAAGGGCCCCCGCTGGCCAAGCAGGGACAGTCTGAGCACGGAGACAAATCATCACAGTTATGAGTAACGGACAGTCGCTTTCAGAAATGGAAGTCAGAAAGACGAAGGAAGTGATTCCAGATTGAAGGGGACTAGGGGGTGACAGTTAAAGGACTCGGCACGGGGTCTTTTGTTATACGGGTATCCCTGAGGGGCTAGGAAATGGGAGCGGCTGAGGGCCAGCCAGCCGGGGTCTGCCAGTGCTAATGTTCCAGCTGGGATGGGCACAGGGTGGTCATGAGGGACACCCTTGTATGCAGAGGACACACAGCCAGGTGTCTGCTAACAGGCATGAACTGGCATCTGTATCTCAAGCGTTCAGGGGAGATGCTATTTGGGCTGTACCTGTAATTGCTCTGTAAGTGTGAAATTGTTCATTTATTTATTTGCTAATTATGAAGACCAAAGGCCAGGTGGCCAGCCACCCCTCTCCCTCTCGGTGTCCCCTCCACCCGTACCTTCCCATGCATCAGCAGGCGGATAGTCAGCGTCACATTCAGGCCACCTTCTGAGACCTTGGACTCCATCCTTCTCCCGAAGTGCGGCTGTGGGTGCTGGCTTAAGACGCCAAGGAAGTCGTGAGGAAGGATGGATGGGGCCCAGACAGTGTCACCTGGGAAAGGAAGGCACAGCCACTGAGAACTGAAGGCAACCTCTTGTACTGGCCTACAAGGACGTTCTGCTCCTGGATGGGCCTGAGATGGCGCTGTCATGTTGGGGGCTGTCTCGAGGCCGAGGCTCGGGGGCTGCCACAGAGCCAGCGGCAGGAAGGCCCGCCTGGCTCGCCTGGAATGACCGTGGGGGCATGGCCACCCAGCTTGACCCAGCTCCCCCACTTGGTGCTCCTCGTTCGGCTGCTCCCCATCTCAGCAAGTGGTCCCTGAGCCGCTCCAGCGGACTCCGGGGGCCGTCCTTGACCCTCTTCCTCGCCCCACACTCTGCCATGGAAGGGTCTAGGACCCGCCCTGCCCCTGCCCCTGCCTGTGGCCGGCCTTTGGCAGAAGCTCCCTTCCAGTCTCTTCCACCAGGCAGGTGGTCTCTGTAAAACTTAAGCCCCATCGTGCGATCCGGCCCAGACCTTCGGAGGTTTCCCTCATCACTTAAAAGAAAACTGATCGCTGGGCGAGACCCTCCAGGAATTGACCTGCCCGCCCCCATCCAAGCTCCTCGCAGGCTTGAAGATCTTTATTTATGCGTTTGAGAAAGAAATGGTACGATGAGGGGATGGTTGCCAAGGAAATAAAATGATACGCACTTTCCTCTGCTGTCAGGGAGATTTGTGGCATGGGTAGCCTGAGCCAGAGACTCAGGACCAAGCCAGGGAGAGAAGGGGGCCATAGGGCAGGGGAGGACAGCCTGGGGGGGATGAGGGCAGGGGAGG